GGGAATGGTTTTTTCCTCCCTGTTATTATATGTTTTTAATTTAAAAAGATACAACAAATGTACTTAGTGTGATTGGTTATGATCCTTGCTTTTCTTAAAAATGGTCATGGTTCGAATCCAAATATGTGTCTTTTTAATGAATAAAAAAAGTAATTGTGAAGACCAAAATGTCCTTCCTACTTTCACTCTCGTTGCAGAAAATTTGAAATGGGGCTCTCGTTTTTCCCTTCAGCATATTATAAGTACTAGCCTATTACCCGGCCCGTTGGCCGGATTACTGTATGTTACTCACTTGTGGAATAGGAGAGAAAGCAAGTGAGAGTGAAGGGATTGGGATTCCACTTGATTAGGACCGACCCACTAATCCGATTCTTCCCGACCCGCCCCAACCTAAAGGGTCAGAAAGAGTCAATAAGAAAATACGAACAGAGAGGATTAGTCATATTCATATATCTTGACTCTTCAGAAGTGGGTCAAACAGGATCAAGGTTGGGTGAGGGAAATTTTTAGCGCTAAGCAGAGTTCTGGGTTGAATAGCTTTACTTAGGCCTAGAAATTGGTGTTGATGCAAACTGCAGTTTTTATTATACCATCATCAATCATCATTGAATTAGTCCTGGGCATCCCTCCCCGTTGTCGGTATGAATTCTAATGATGGCTCCGTTCCTTGCACCAGCCTTATCAGCGAGTTGTCATCTCGAGCATGATTTGCCTATGTACAAATGATACAATTAGAGTATGAAATTGAATTCAAAGAAAAGGAAAAGAGATTTCTATCACATGCCAATAAATACACACATAATAGTTGAAGCTAAGTGAAAGTCATTACTCGCACATCAATTCTCAAAAATTACAGACTAAACAATGGCTAGAATGGCACTGAAACTATCAAGAATCATGGACGAAACAACTTGTCAAATTAAATAATCCTTATACTGAAACTACCTTCTAACTTGAAATAAGACATGATCACAGTTCATAGCTCTCTTCTCACTATGAATTGGTTGCAGCTCGTCTTATCACTGCCTCTCAACCTCAATTCAAACAGAATAGAGACCATTATGTAAGATAACCATATCCTTACTGATCATAATTCCTTTCTTCACTCCATTTTTGTCAGAGAAAAGAGTTACCCCCCTCTCCTGCATTTCCCTTTCCCCCTCTCTTCTCCCTCTTCTTCACAAACCGATCCCTAAACCAGCAACAATAGCACAAAAATAGCCTTCGCCTCTGCCATCTCCATCTACTGAACGCGTTGGTGGCAAGACAGGACTGCAGAAGCAAAATTTTCTAAAATCAAACTAAATTTTTTGAAGGAGACTCAACCACGAAAAAATAGTAAAGCAACAATGCTAATAGTTCAGATGGTTGGTTTTGATGTTATACATTGCTTTTGTTCTGGTCTCCAGTATATCAACTGCAATAGAGATGTTTCCTCCAATCATCTTTAGTGCACGATTTAGAAGCAAGTCCTACTGTTTGTGTCAAACGGAAACATTCATGGGTTCTTAACTCCCCTGTTAGTGTAAAAGCAGCAGCAACAAAGAAGTTTGACAACACAGCAAGCACCCAGGCAAAATGATACAATGCAGTAGGTTATATGTGTCTCGAAGGTTTTGAGTTACTAAAGTTCATGTTAAAAATAAACATGAATTAAAATGGATAATTCTATTAAGCAAACATCCCCTCCAATCATACAAAGATCAGATATCCAATTCACAAACAATTAAGCCATAAAAAATCATCACACATCCACCACCTTTGATTGCCTAAATTTGGTTTTTCGCAAAAGTTATGGACTCTTAAGGGAAACGTTCATGAGTAGTCTGTTTCATAACTCTAGAGAGCACAGTAAGCAGCCACCAGCCAGACACAGTGTGGTAGGTGAATATGATTCTCAATTCACAATTTCTCACCACCGGAAGTAAGAACAGACCAGAATAAGCGTAGCGTTCATGGGTGGTCTGTTTCATAGCACTACTACACAATTTGTTAAAAAAGAAAGAAAGGTATTTAGCACCACGGCGGAACAACTTTTACAGGCCAACAACGACAACATGCTGCAACCACCAGAACTGGTATCACAACTCATAGGGAAAATCAAAAGATTTACTCTCAAATTAAGCAGTTACAACATCGAGCAATTGTCAAGCACATACACCATCACAAAAGTCACAGAACCTAATTCACAAAGCATTAAAACATTTGAGGACATTTCTGCAAATGTACAACTTATATGTCTTTTTTCCAAGCCATTTCCATCAAAATGCTAATAAATTTGCAATGCATAAAACAAACGGGCCAAAACTTGAAATTCAGCCTGTTTGACGACCCATGCCAAATTCTAATTATTCTTTACTTTTAAACTTTCTATTTGAAAATAAAAAATAGTGAAAGAAAAGAGACGACTACAATTCGCCATTTGCACATCACTTATTCGGGAATAAAACCATAGAAATTCAAAAGGAACTGAAAATGTTTAGGATCGTTATAATGTTTTAAATAACCAAATAGATCTTTATGTTAATTTTTTACTAACAAATACCAAACTATTCCCTATAAAATACACTATAATTTGATCATTATGATATCAAATAATTATAAAATATATATTTTAAATGATAAAAATTGGACTAATTGTGTTGGTCGAGGTTGAACCATTGAATAACTTTAAAATACATTATATTTTAGCCACTAAGATATAAATTAATAGCATAATATATATTATGTCAGAGAAATTAGCTTATTTTAGAATGACAAACCAATGATGTTCATTTATTTTACTTGATGGCCAAATCCCATGTAGGTCAGGCACATTCAACTCTTTTATTTTATGGTTGACGGTTAGCCCATTAGATACCATGCATTAGTTTATTGTTAAATGTTTTATTTTTAACAATAAAAAGGAGTATTATTTTTACCTTTTCATATATATTTTGTCACCACGGAGAAATAAAATGGCTTAAAGAAAAAAAATTGACACTCCTGGACCCGTTTAAATTCACATGTGTACGGTAAGTTGGCCCGTTCCACAGAGGAAAGAGAAAAAAAATTGACACTCCCTATTCTACCATTCCTACAAACGCTCATGGAGTAGGGAATTTGAAATGGGGGAAGTGTTTTTTCCTCCCTGCTATTATATGTTTTTAATTTAAAAAGATACAACAAATGTGCTTAGTGTGATTGGTTATTATCCTTGCTTTTCTTTAAAATGGTCATGGTTCGAATCCCAGTATGTGTTTTTTTAATGAATAAAAAAAAGTAATTGTGAAGACCAAAATGTCCTTCCTACTTTCACTCTCGTTGCAGGAAATTTGAAATGGGGCTCCCGTTTTTCCCTTCGGCGTATTATATTATGTGTAGATTTAACTGCCTAATGAGTAGGGGTGGTTATACGGTACGATTCGGTTAGATCCGAATTGATTCGGTTTCGGTTCGGTCTTTTCGAGAATATGAGGACCGAAGATTGGATTGGATACAGTCCGATTTTGACCTGATTCGGTTTTGACCCGGTCCCGTCCCAATCCGGTCTTGATTTTAAATTGAGCTTGTGGGGGCGGGGGTTGAATGGGCTGAGGCCTAAAAGGGTGAGGAGTAGGTTAGGTTTTGTGTGTTGGGCTCTCTTATCCAGTTTCTGGTCCGGTCCCGGATGGGTTTTTTTACCTCAAATCTAATCCCAAAAACGAGATTGGAGTGTTTGCTATCCGGTCTCGGTCCGGTTATACGGTCTGATTTCGGGTAAAACCAAAAAACACGACCAAATAGCCACCCCTACTAATGAGTAGTAATATCTAAAAAACTCCACTTTTTATATATCAACTACATATGTGACGCGTGTCGGTTCACGCGTCGGGTTTTCGTAAGAGAATGAGAGAAAGAAGCTAGGAAATACTGGTTTATTCTTGTTCTGCTAAATAAAACGTAGAGGCAAAGTACATATTTATAGGACAAATCTCATAAACCCTTTCCCCTTTGCACAAGGAAACCCAATCCTATACTAACTCCTAACCGATTACTTCCCGAACAAGAAATAATAATAACCCAAAATAACTAAAAGAATACACAAAAAAAAAATAATATCCAAAAATCACCAATTAAGGCAAAACGTGCACTCATCAGACCTAGATGGCTAGAAACGTGCACTCATCAAACCTCCCCCCTTCAAGCAACCTCATCCCGAGGTTGGCTTTCATCGCCAAAGCTCACTTCTCCGTCTCCGCCGAAATCACCAATTAAGGCGAACACCTGGTTGTTAGCACAACGATGCCCAAAAGTGAAGTGCTCATCACAATTGTAGCAGAGACCATCGCGACGTCGTTTGGTAGCCTCCTCCGGAGTAAGATGACGGATGACACGCCTCCCAACTGGCGATTGTCCTTGGTTTGGCGGGGCTGGAATCGGTGGAGCAGCAACCACCAGATTAGGTGTCGGCTCGTGAGGCGCGGCCACTGGCCCCCGTGCCGCTCCCCTCGGAGCTCCCCGCTTGATCTGGATCTCCTCTTCTCAAACCTTAGCCAAGCGTTATGCTTCTCCCGTATTTCTTGGCGCAAAAGCGCATATGTACGCCGAGATCTCGGATTTGAGGCCCCCATATACGTTCCAATCACCGCCTCCTTACTCCATCCCCGACAACAATTTAACAATCGTTCGAAGGTCTGTTGGTAGTCCTCTACGGTGTCTGTCTGCCGAATTTTTCCAAGAGCCTCATGTCCCGCGGCTTTCTCCAAAGCTCCATATCGTTTCCAGAATTCAGCCCGGAAATCTTCCCAGTTCATCTCCATACCTCCCTGCACGACGACTCCTCAACCCACATGATCCATTGATTTGCATCGCTTTCCATGTGGAATGACGCCAGAGCGACCTTCTGTTCCTCGAGAATGTCTTGATACTCGAAATACTTCTCGACCCAAGCCATCCACCCTGATGGTTCCTCCTGCCCGGTGAACTTTGGAAATTCGAGGGTAGCCGTTCGTCCTCGAAACCATGCTACAGCTGAATCCTCAGTAGTGCGAGCCTTCCCTGTCTCGCGGCCCTCCCGGTTTCGTGCGCCTTGTCCGCCGGACTCTAGCCCTGACTGGGTTGTCCATCCGCCCGATCCACGGTGGCCTCAGGGATCGGTCCGACCTAGCGATCAGCTCCCCACCCGTTCGGAAGCCTTCCTCCTCCTTGCACAGCTCAGTTCCGGCCCAAGGCCCCTTCAGACCTCCGTCGTCTTCCTCCCCGACCTTGCGTTGTCGGTCTCCGCCTCCTGCTCCGCGCCCCGGGCGCTCATCGAATTTCACCGCCGACCTGGCCACCCCGCCATCTTCGTCGTTGAAGGCCAGGCTTCCCCATGCCATTCCTGTGAGAGGAATAGCTCTATCGCGTCTCTCCTTCCCTATCGATGCTCCTTTCGACGTTGGCGTCGGTAGGATTGCACGATCGATGCCCTTGGGGCTGGTTTGTGGCGTCTCTACCCCCTTAGCTTCTTGATGTTCCATTATGTTTCCGTGTGAATGTTTGGTTGTTTTTGTGTGCTTGGAGCCTAGTCCACTGTCCAAATTTTGATTTGAGGGCTCCAAGCACGTGTTCCTTGCAATTTCCTGCTCAGTATGCTTTGAATTGACAGTCTTTAATATGCAACCTAGGGAGGTAGTGTAGCACTATGGAGGATGTTGATGCATTTAAGAAGTCTCATTTCTTCTTCATATTGTGTTGGTTGATTGTGTGAATTAGTGATCTTAGGACCCTTGAATTGTGTGGTATTGTGGACTCACTAACTTTCATGGACTCTTGTATAATGTTTTGAAAAAAGGTGCTCTAAAATGTGCTTTTAAAATAACATCTCTCGTGCGGGAAGCAGTGAAAGTGTGTAAGGGTAGACGGGAATACGTTCCCAACTTCCACCTACTACCTCCAACCTCCTTACATTTCTTTCTCCGCACGAGGATCGAGACATCTGCTTCTGGCATGGCCGGTAAGAGCCGAACTCCCTCAAAACCTTTTACTAGGTGGGAGCCTCGTTTTCTCAAGAAAAAAAAAACACGTTGGGACCCTTGAAAAAAAACAACAAAAAAAAAAAAAAAAAGAAAAAAGGGGAACCAACCATCTTCAAGAAGAAAATAGAGCACCTTAAAAAAGTGAGTCCATGATCTTTCTGTTTTTGGGAGTCCCTTTGTCCACGATTCATTTATCCTCTGATCACTATTTGCCATGATGCCGACTCGAGACTAGAGTTCTCGCCGAAGAAGCTAGGAGGTGCCTTGTGCATTGGTTGACCTCGTAAACTGCTAAATGATCTAGGAAGTCCGCTACCGACGATCGGGGTTGCGTGTTCCTGTAAAGGTCTGGAGAGTTGCATTGGTTTGAGTCAGGTTTGCTTGGGGACAAGCAAACAGTTAAGTGTGGGTAAATTTGATGACTCGATATTTGCACATGTTTTCCCCTTTGTTTCTTGATTGTTTGAGCTTTAATTATCGCGTCTTTAGCCTATTTTACGCTAGGTTGTGTTCCTTTGTCACATTTCAGGTTCTAGCACATAAAGTGAAGCATAGGCGCAAGTTTCAAGTCAATCAGAGATCAATTGGCGATTCGGGAGAAGAAACTCGGGCATGACCTGAAGAAGAATGGATTTATACCTCATTTATAGACAAATAATCATGCAAGCTTGTCATGAAAAGAAAGAGGACGAGACTACGAGCGTATGGGATCAAACGACGACTTATTCGGAGTCCGGACGAAGGAGAAATGAAGCATTGAATATAGGGGAACAGGGTCGGCAGTAAAAACACGGGCATACTACCCTAAAAACACGGTCGTGTTTTATCTGGCCCCGCTAGTGTTTTACTGCCGAGGGCGTGTCGTGAGGGCTTCTGGGGGAAAAACACAGGCGGGCAAAAGTAAAACAAGGTCGTGTCCTCGACCGTGTTTTGCCCAGAATCGGGTTTTTGAGGCAGATTCAAGCCAAAGGAAAGGGAGAGCTGGGTTTTGGTTTGAATCTGCCTCAAAAATCCGATTATGGGCAAAACATGGTTGAGGACACGACTGTTTTAATTTAGATTGTTTTAATTTAACTTTAAATTTTCTGATCAGTTACTATAAATTTTCATATCCAAATTTATTTTTTTTACAATTAATACCTAAATTTTTAAAAATATACAAAAGCCCTAGAAATTTTGGTGGTAAAATTATTTTTTTTACCTTATATTCTTTACCTCACACTACATTTCCTAAACTTTTAAAATTTTATAATATTTTGTCAGGAGAAATTTCAAATCACTAGTTGTTGCATTTAAAAATGACAACTAATACACTAGACATAAACATGTATTTGAAAATCATCTCATAAATTATCAAACAAATTAATAATCAAACAAACGATTTGACTTTTAAAAATCCAAATTACAGACAAAAAAAATCCAAATCTTTCTACAAGGAAGTGTTAGGAAAGTGCCATAATAATTGTGGCATACATCTTGCTTATCTGGTCAATCCATAGGATTTCTACATTTTTTTTTTTGTTTTTTTGCAAACTTCGCAATCTGTAAAATTGGCCGGCGTCGCCAACTCCATTGCAATTACACAAGGAAGTAACTGCCACGTCGGTTTGAAAGTAGGTGACTAACTGGATGGATTTCTTTCAAGAGCAATTGTCAAGTTCAGCAAAGTAGGACTTCTCCGCAACCAAAACACCCTGAAGGAGGAACAGAAAATCACGGACGGGAAGTTGGAAGGAAAAGCAACCAAGTCGTCCATCAAGAAACTATTGTTACAAAAAATGAAGACACAGGCAGAGTTCCTTCTATGATTCTGCTAACTGCTACGTACCTTAATGATCATAATGGCTGCCTCTTTGTGGATCACCTCATTGTACTCGTGACACACTACGCTCTGCAATAATTACCCTTTATAAGCGATTAAGAAAATTGCATCACTTTAAGTAAGCAAAAAGAGAAGCATACCTGAACGCAATTAGGACAACCTGTGTACCCATGGCAACTACAAGAAGTGAGGAGCTCTAATGCTGCATTCAGAAGCTCACTGAAATAAGGTTGTACCTGTTCCAAATTCAACAACCATCCCCATCTCGGCTCAGAGTAACGAAAGATATCATCTTTCTCCACTAGGTCTCAAAGACAGTTGAACAGACATTTGAAAGTTGAGTAAGATTAAACAACAAAGATATCTTCATTTCGAATGGCGTAATCACCTGCTTTGAGACACCAGTGCCACCGGGATGCTGTTCATATACTAGAATTCTTTCAGGGAAATACCGATTATCATGCAGGTTTGGGCACTCTGGAGCCAAGTCAGAGTAATTGCACCGTACATATCTGCCCATTTGTAACCCCGTCGTGATCACACGATGATGCAACGAAAAGCATTATCCATGGCAGTAGCAGGAAAACACTTACAAAGGCACTACATGAAGAAGAGCATGAGAAGCAGCATGCAATCCCCCTTGGAACGAGAAACCCATGTCCTCCACCGATTTTTTAAGTGATTGAGGAACTCCGATCCACGCAGCCTGCATCATTAAGTATTTTATATTAACCAGGCATCTCTGGCTATAAAAGTGTCCCATCAGACAATGGTGAAGAAATAAGATTCCATCATCAACAAGCAGATGGACACCTGTGACTCGTAGGAGTAACTGGGCAGCGAAAGGTCAATTGTATCTAAGACTCTGTTGCTTCCTCTTGCCATACGACGGAATCCAAACCAAGTGGTTGTTACTGTGCAAGAACGTGCTTGAGCCGTCGTTCTTTTAGTCTGGTTGCAGGCCATGACTGGATAAGCCTGCAAACATGTAACACAAAGGCTTTTGGTACCAAACATCGTGAATTTCCACTAACACACTTAATGTTCCCTATCATCTTATAGCATTCACAACGGACTTTCCAGTAAACTTACGGGTCGTTTGGATTATAAATTTTGGGTAGGGATTTGCCACAATCCCTGCCCTTCCCACACTTAATGTTCCCTATCGTCTTATAGCATTCACAACGGACTTTCCAGTAAACTTACGGGTCGTTTGGATTAGAAAATTTGGGTAGGGATTTGCCACAATCCCTGCCCTTCCCAGATTTCAGCACATTTCCGCATTTGGGAAGGCTCCAAAAACTTAAGGGATTTTGGACATTAGAAAGTTTTAAAACCTGTCATGCACGGATTTCAAAAGAGCTGCTGCCTCTCTCGGTTTTTTTTTTTTTTTTTTCCTTTCAAAAGAAAAGTTTGAAATGCATTGGTTCAGCGTAAGTATATGGTTCAAAATTTTCATCAAGCAAGTTCCAATACACAAACTGGATAGTAGCCTCAATAAATCTTGAACTAACATAAACATGTGGGTTAGGTTGCATGGAACAACTGTAGTTCCTGTAAACATTTCCAGAAAGTCATCTTTACGATCCAAAAGCACATCATGTCATGAACAATAGCATGGATCTTTAGCCTAAGTCCATAGCAAAATGTAAAATCACGCAAGCACTAATGCCTTGACAAAAATAAAAAAAAAAATCAGTAAAATCCGCAAAATAACTAAAGGTTCATTTGGAGAATTGTACTTTCAATCTCAGGATTCTAAAGAATTCTAACTCAAGAATTGTTAAAAAAAATTGAGATTCTAACTTTCTATATAAAAAGACAATAAATGAAAGAAACGCAAATAAAACTACGTGTTCACAATAAATCAATATATCTAACATCTCAGTCAGCTGTTTGCACACTTGAAAGATTACAGATTACTACTTTATCAGCCTCATAAACAGGAACTAGTGATGGCCTAACGGAACGACACTCTATTATTAACCTTCAGGTAGCAGAGATGGATAACTAGAGAATAAATTATGGTGCTTTTGTAGTTTTATTTTTACCGCATAACAAGACTCAAGTTCTATAAGCGAACTTACAGTATCACCTCCCATAACATGGACATCCGTGTAATCTCGAGTTTTGGTATAATAGTTCACATGAGCTTGCTGGCACCAAGCAATCTTTTCCGATATATTGAGCTCCTTAACTAGATAAGACTTCCCCTGGTGCAGATAGACTGCACCTTCATACACCTGAGAAACAGAGAAAAACTAATTTAGCCACCATGGAGAGAGACTCAGAAAGACAGGTGTATGCGACAACTCCTTACCTGAAAGAAAGCCTTGCTTTCCTCTATCTCCTCAAGAAGGTCATTCTGTCTAGTATCTATCACTTTATACCTGACAGTTTCTATAGCTCGAATACTTATTCCACGTGCAGGCATTTTCTGAACAATTAGAACCAGCGAAGAACCATTACAAATCAAAAGAATTGTCTAACCATAACCTAAATGAGAAAAAAAAATCTTGTTCTTAAGTTTTACCTCTTTCCCGATATAGCTCCATATTCTGGCAGAATCATCATGGGTCAAATTGCAAGTTATGGATCCTTTATTTTTAAGCGACACCAAGGCCGTACTTAGCGCTGGTCCAAAATGGTTCTCGTCATACTTCAAACTCAATGGATGTTCAAAAGCAGCACATGCGAGATGCTGTTCAACTACCTAAATAGAGAATACTATAAAGTTAAGTTAGTTGTTTTAACAAATGTGGAGTTCGCTTAGTTGCTGGAACTGAATACGGATATGAACAGTGTCAAAAACTGGTAACCTGCAGGTTCTGAGCGTCAATATGACAGCACTCGATTGGACTACCAAAGAGCTTTCTAGGATATTTCATGAAATATTGATCTAGAGGGCTTTCGAAAGCAACATACACAGCAAGAGAAGCCTTTTCTCTTCTGCCTGACCTGCCTGCTTGCTGCCACAGGCTGAGACAGAAAATGTTTTGGCAAATCAACAAAAAATTCAAGTAGTTAAAAATCTACTAATAGAGAATACAGTTCCGCTCTACCTAGCAATGCTACCAGGAAAGCCTAGGTGTAGTGTGGCATCTATATGTCCAACATCAATACCCAACTCTAGAGCATTTGTTGCAGCAATGCCACAAAGCTCACCACCGAAGAAATCTCTTTCAATTTTCCTCCGTTCCTGCATCATCAAGCAACTGATTCTCAAAAGAACCAATACTCCTATGCCCATAAGCAGTAGATATGCCAAAAACAGAACAAAAAACCTAACATCGTGACAGAGATTATATGTAATCTTCAGCACATTCAACAAGTTAAGGAGAATTCAGCTTTACTAAAATGTCACACACCAAACCTACCTGCTAATGACATTAAAGGTTTTCAAGCCAGTTTTCACATTCTACTGTTTCAAAGACAAGCATAAAAGGGACATGAAGGGTAAGGGGTTGGACACTTTGAGATACAAAAGAGGAAAGGAAAACGGAAGAAATTGTGCCTTAGTCAATAGTAAAATTTAAATAAAAAAACTTTTGCTCAATTCACTCTATAGCATCATTTTGGGTAGGTCAAATCGAAAAACACGTATTTGTTCAGAAACGACATATGCATCCTATACGTATATTTAACCTTCTTACATTGTTCTTATTAGGGACGCTATCTCCAAAACATTTACTTCTTCAAGATGAATTAAACTCAAGTTCAAAAGGACCTGTTCCGGTTGAGCCTGACCTTGTGAACCAAGTATTAGGGGCAGTAACAACTACAACAATCAATATTTCTATTGCCATTATAATTGAATATGAAGGAAATGGAACGTTACAGACCTCAGGTATATAGCCAGCTCGGTATGCAGATATTTTATCTATGAGGTTGGGAGCTGTCTCTTGGAGAATCTCACGTCTGTTATAATACAAAGAAAGCACCACATGACTTCCATTCATAATCCAGTCTAGGTATGGTACACGTGTTTATATTTTCCGGTGTCCAGAAAAAGAAAGCTTATGTGCTAAAGAGAAAAGTTAGGGTCATTGATGCCAATGGAACATACGTATAGGAGAGAACAAGTTCAGTGAGCTTGCGTGATTTGCAAAAAGCAATACACCGAAGTCCATGTTGAACCATCTCAGCAAAAAGGCATGCAACTGTGAAGATTGGACTGGGGAAAAAAGGAAAGAGCATCAGGCAATACCAAAATGTTATATATACATCATTCCAAAGTACAACTTATTTAAAATGAGTTTGAAGTTCATCTAGGAGGCACAACTTTCCCAAATTACACTACTACTGCCTTAAAAGAACAAAGTAAATATCACACTGAAACCATTCGCAATTACAAGAATGGGTTACCTTATGCTTTTGTCTGCAGAGCCATTGATATCTCTACCAGTTTCATTTTGCACCTGTAACCTCGTAGAGTCAGCAATGTTTTGACTAATCATTCTATTTTGCATTTACATGGAGAGAAGAGCACCTACAGATTTAAGGGAAGAAGGATTCCAAAGGATAAATTGCTTTTCAGAGGATGGGCTCCTATCATTTTCTATAAGCTCCAATGTTGAGAGATTTGCAAGCTCCTATACATCAGAAAAGAACATCAATCCATCAAACAAAATGTATAACCTAGCAGATACGCGCACCATTCTGAAGCACTAACTTAAAATCAGATAAAGGGGTCATGGATTTAGCAGCTCATCCAGACTTTCAGCACCTTGCAGAAGAGCAACATCCGCCTCACTACAATATAGGCTGCCTCATGATGAAAGATATTCGTTTTTGACAAGAGAACAAGGTAGTGGAAAAATCTAAGCGACTGTTATATGGCTGATGGATTAAACTATGAAAAGATAACCGTCCACCACTAGTTGTGCAAGATGGCAGGCATGCAAATCAATCCAACTTATATATGGTCAAAGACATGAAAGATAAAAGCATCTTTGTATAAATCTACTGTACAATGCCCTATACCAGTCACACCCGTAATTTGAAGCACTTGAGCAAGAAGAGAAATGGAAACTCAATTCAACAGGTCAGTCAGCTAATGGTTCCCAGTCACAGTTATAGAATGATAAAGCACTAATCCATAAGAGTAAGATAATCACATTCATCTGCATTTGTTCTCCATGGAGCATTCACCAACGTTCCTCTCTGGATCTATAGCACCTTCCTAAAACTGATTAAAAAAAAAGATGGGTGGTGACGACCATCCAAGGGTGAGAAGCCAAGTCATTATCAAACTTTCTCATCAGGATTACTGTTGAAGTATCATGTATACATGTTATTTGATTTTGTTGGAAGAAAAGAAGATAAACCAGCCATGGTAGCTACTTGCACCAGCATCAAATTAGCACAACAGAATGTTGGTCAACATAATCCAGCATTATGCCATCTATCATCAATCTTACCATGCAATGCTCCCTAGGATTGGCAGACGTTGCTGTGGAAAATACAAACGAAGGATCCGTGCCATATACTGGACATAAAAGAAAAGTACGTCAGTAAATGGTTAACTGACATGTGAACTGGATAGAGATATAATGAACTGCACACTAGAGGGAAATTGAACCATGAGAACAAAGGCGCCGGAGTCTTCTAAGTATGAGAGCAGTATGGCATCCAAGTGCTCCCTTATACATATGAGCTTCATCAATGACCACAAACCTAATACATGGGGAAGGTCAATCTTTTTCCAAGGAATCAATCTATATTCCATGAGAATATCATTCCAGAGTACTGCTTATTTTAGCTATTTAGACAATGATTCCAACATTACCTAAGATTTGTTAGAATCCTACTAAATTGCCCATGATATGGTAAAATTGACAAGTGTAACATGTCTGGATTTGTAATCAACTGCACACACAGGTGGACAAAATTTTAGAAATAAGATCCCATTCAGAAGTTGTATTGTATGAGACAAAAAATATTGGCCGACAAAAGTACCAGTCTAGCATCAGAGCGATGCAACATTCTTTCCTCGTGGCAAGTGTCGCCATCATAAACACCAATATTTATGTCTGTGTCATATGCTTTCTTCATAGCTAGCAATGCTCTCAATTGATCTTGAGCTAATGCCTACATCCATGACATCAAGAATTACCATCCGGTGAGCAGCATTTCACAATTCAAAAGAAATGGCAGCATAATAATAGCAATACTTGGAATAATTGAAAGCATAGAGAGACGTTCACCAAACCTTAGTCGGAAACAAGTATAAAGCACATGCCTGCAAATTCTGGGACAATGCTTCCAAAACAGGCACATTGTAGCAAAGAGATTTTCCGCTGGATGTCATTGTTGCCACCACAACATTTCTCCCCTTCAGGGAGGCCATGATGGATTCGGCCTGATAAAATTAAGAATTATAGCCATCTTAAAAATATTGTTGCCAAAGAATGTGGTAAATGAAAGCAACCGTACCTGATGGGTATACAATTTGTTGATTCCCATACATTCTAGCGCAGATTTTGTATTTGTTGAGAGTTCATCAGGAATATCTGCATACTGAGCTTTTCTTGCTCTAATTTCTTCAATGTGCACCATCTTCACCATAAAGACTTGTAGAGTTAGCAACAGCACATAAACTTTCCTTTTTTGTTTTGTGATATGTGTATCAGTGGATAAAAGTTAAAAACTGCCAAACAGGACATTTTACTCCCCTCGCAGCAGCTGGAAAGAAGGAGAAAAAAACTAAGAGAAGCTAGGAGCAGAGTAAAGAAGGAGGGAAAAAAACTAAGAGAAGCTAGGAGCAGAGTAAGTGTCTTTAGATAGTAATTGAAGAAAAAGAAGAAGAGGAACATTTTGAAGGAAATGAGCAGGCAAGTGGCGAACAGAGAAAATCTTCACCCTAGATGAATTTTCTCTGCAGGAGTTTTCCTACCTGGCCATTGGAACCCATCCCTTTTAGTAGATGTTGGACCATTTCGATCGGCAACAACTGATCCCTCTCCTGTAAATCAAGAAGTAGAATTCAACAAGAGACTCTGGGTTTAAAGATGACAAGAAACAAGATTTAATGTAAAATCATGTCAATCCCAATCCCTAAAAAGAGGAATTAACATTAAAAATTCAATCTATGTTACCTGAAAGAATAATGCATTATGTTTTTCAAGGACTAAAAATAAAAACCACTAAGTTGAGCTCCTCCGGAAAGTCATACAAAAGCCCTTCACTTCTCTACCCCAATTCAGTTTCCAGTGAATATTAGCCTGTAGACTTATCTGTTCTTTGAACAACTTTAAAATCTCTACATTCTGATGCCCGTTTGAAGAAGATGCACTGGAAAATAATGCATATTAAAACTATTGGTACAAAGAGGAGATATTTCCGCGGTTCTTTTTTCCCCCTTCTGTGGCATTTTTATTTCATTAAGAAAGTAATGAAGCCAGTAATTAATTTTATTGATATTTGCTAAAACAGAGTTCAGTTTAATGAAGGCATACAGAGCATCGTGCTTGACTTGAGCGAGAACTTGAAGATGACGTAAAGCATTTCTTTGAAGATTCCGGAAGATTGCCACTCCATGTAATCCCGGCTTTCTTCACAAATGTTAGTAAATCATCCAAGGAAAACAAAACCTGGAGTGCATTACCACTTTTGCCCTGGATGATCCACCAAAAGGAGACGTGAGTACAAGCTTTTAACGCCAAAGTCAATTTATTGTGTCACACAAAAGGAAAAGAAGTTGAAATTACATCTTATAACATAAAATGGTTGATCTTTTAATTTCTTCACAATCATGAAGCCAATGTACTGATTCTTATAAAATGGATCGCCTTCGTGACAAATGCTGGCGTGATCCAAAATCATAACAATAGGTCAGAATAGCCAAATTCCACAAGTAAAAGAGCAAGTATGCATTGAAAGCAAAATGTGCATTGTACAAAAATCTCTACATCAGAAGCTATGTCAAGAAGTCATTAGCAGTGTGCTTTGACGAGGCATATAGAACACTGTTCTAAAATTACTTAAAGTCATAGTTCACCTCCTGCCAAATGAGATACATCCATACATAATCAAACGGACAATTAGCGAACCACATCCTAATATAGACTGGGATACATATATTACACTTATGCATTGGTTAAGGATTCAGAAGAAGCAACGACTGTTGATGACTTTTCTCATTTGAATACAGATGAAACTTTTTAGCAATTCTGCCAATTACTATCAATATAAGGTGAATCTGTAGTTAAAGAAAAAGTAGATCCACAAGAAAATTTAAGTGCATGAAGAAAACAGTAACTGCTGCTGAATAGAATGAAACAAGAGCCAGACATGATGTTTCCAGAAATCGACTTGATAGTGATAAAAAGCATACGAACAAGATTATCTCAGAATACACTTACCATCAATTTTCTAACTGCTTCACAAACATACGTTTTGAACAAAATGTCCCGTTTTCTAACTGCACTAAACATCCTTGACAAAGATATGCCTTTTCGACCTGCAAACAAGCAAAATAAATTGATCTTCTGGAAGACTAAAACATTAAGAGACATGAAAAACTGCAGAAGTCACCAACACATATTGCTTATAAGGTACTTTCCAAATCCAATCCCATTCCTCTGTTCGCTTTCATCATCAATGACAACAATGGCCCCAGGAGAATTTTCCAGCTTGGTGCTATCTGTGAAGATTAGTATCTGCCCTACAAAAAGGAAGGGTTACTTGATAAACACAATTAGATATGACAAATATTCAGACAACGTATCTCTAGGTGTATTCTTTTACATCCAGCTTTACTCCTAACCCCACGAGGTTCCGAGACGGAGCTTAACCTAAGTCTCGGTTAAGAACAGCGATGATTAATACGGAAGTTAAAGAAAAAACCTTTGAGTCTCTTTACTAAAGACTTATCTTTTTCAAAAATGAAGGGTTACTTGAAAAACACATTTAGAGATGACAAAATTCACACAGAGCCAGCACCTTATGGCAACAATGAAAACCATAAGCCAACTGAGGGTCGCTTATCAGAAATGAAGGAAGATAACACACTACCGGTGCATATCCATATTTCATCACCCAGTAAACACCAATTTTGCTACGATAAAAATGTTCCTACACAGGGCAGCCTGACTTTGCCAACAAATTGACTTAATGGTAACTAGCAGCAAATAGTAAGAAGTCAACCAAAATTACCTTAGGACAAAGGACAGAAAGACGCTTTACATCCTCAAAACAAACCCCGCACCCATACTTTCTGAGCTGCATCAATGCCTCCTTCAAACAACCAGAAGTAATTTCTTCTTTTTGCAGATGAAGAAAGGAAGAAAGGATATTAATGAGAGCAAACGCCTCCATAATTCTTCTAAGCCATGCTGGACATAAACACTGAACTGGCTTGTCTCTGTACTCTCTGTCACCATTAGCTGAAGCAGCCAACAACATGCACATCCCGGAATGTGGAACGGTCAAACAACTGATTGATTCCAAAACCTTCACAAACTTCTCACAGTTCACCCCCTCAGTGATTTTCTTGTCTGGAGACCTCAACACGGTCGATAGAAAATCATACACTACCCCATCCTCTACAAGGTTCCCGCCATACACGTCCAGATTCCTTTTCCGTTTGTGTATGGGGAAACTACCATCACTAGCCTCACAACCATGATTGCCGCGGCCATTGCTTGGTTCATCAATCATCGATGACAAATCTTGCATCATATCTGAATATGCAGCATCTGCAAACCGTGAGATGGAGCTTTGTTTGGGCATCATATCCCCAAGGGAACCAGGTTTTGAAGCCGGTTTCCTCTCCTTCTTTGCAAATGGAATTAGTACAACAAATTCACCAGCCTGAATCTCAAGTGTAGATAATGGACTACTCAAGCTTAATCTAACTCCCTGATGCAGAAACAAAGGCAACAAAATGAACATTTAAGAAAGGAGAAACTAGCAAGACTAAGAAAAATGGCTAGACAAAGCAGTGAGAGTTATCCGTTCTTCAATAGACAAAGAAAGAAATGGTTACCTTGAAGAAGAGATTGAAATTTGGGGAAGAAGAAGCCGGAGAGAAGTCGAGAACCAGGAAGTACTTCAAGTCTTCGACGGTCTTATTTCTCGATATGCTAACAATGGTGGATTCACCCATTAGCGTGCGAATTTCGATTTCGACCGCCTCTTCTTCTGCCATTGCTTAACTCCTAATCTTCAGAATCACTCTCCCGCCTCACTCTTTACACAGCACTCCCGAAACCGAACCAAAGAAATTTGCATGTCTTTTCTTAACGGAAGAAACAAAGAATTGGAAAAGAAAACATACCGTTTAGTACAGGAGGGTTAATATCATTTTATGCCCCTCTAATATTGCAAGTTAACAAACGTGCCCTTCTACTATTATTTTACACTTTTATACCCTTAAACTATCAAAGGGTAACAAATGTACCCTTCCGTTATTATTTCCATCAAATGTCTGTTAGTGAGATTAGCTATATTACCCATCTATTATAAGTTTCTCTGTTCTTTTAATCCTCCTGTACTATCGAAAAGAACCCCCACCCCTCCAATTTCTTCCTTCTCCCTATGCCTCCCAGTCCCCCACCACCGTTCCTTCATCTTCCAGTAGCAGATCCCATAGCAAGCTTGCAGATGTGGGCTAATTTGCTCTGCTAAAGTGGGGTCCTTTCCTTTACTGAGTCGCATCGGAAGCAATAAGAAGAAGCTGGGGAATTTATCTGAAATCTGGTCTCTGCTTTCCTACTTCTTCGCTCACAACCGCACTCGGGTTTTGTTCCGATGTGGTCATCGACAACCTCGGAAGCTTTGTCCTTCGGAGGAGTGGCTGGCCGCGGGAGTAGTAGTTGGTTGTTGGGGATGGCAACTTTGCACATACCCATGGGTTTCTTACTATCCAACCCAATTGAGTTGGGTATGAAATCCAAATAGATGGATATGGGTAGAGTTTGATGGGTTTGTACCCATACCCATTTATTTTGGGTTGAGTTGGGTTTATATCAAATGGATTTGGGTTTGTACTCATGCCCAAATACAAATTACAGTTTGGTACCCAAACTTAATAGATATGCATATTTAGTACCTAATTTTTTTGCATATAAGTCCTCAAAATATTGATGGAAAATTACGTTTTAGTACCTAAATTTTTTTGGTCTTACATTTTGGTACCTAACCTTTTCAAGATTTACAAATAGGTCCAAATTTTGCATGTGTAGTTAAAACACCCTCAAGTAAATGGATATCCATATCCAACCTATATCCATTTAGATTATGGAAGCAATATTCATACCTTACCCAAACCCATCTATAAACCCCCAAATCCATATGCACTTCACCCATGTGGATCTACTTGGATTTGGGTATAATTACCCATGGATGGGTAATTTGCCATCCCTAGGGAAGCTTGGCGCCGGAATTGCGAGGACAAAGAAGAAGGGACGGTGGCGGGTCTACGCGAAGAAGAATGGAAATAGAGAGGGTGGGGTTCTTGTCGATAGTACCAGAAGAATTAAAGCTAAAAGAGCAGAAAAATAAATTAATTTAATAGTTAATTCTTTTTTCTAGAAAATATTTATAAATAGAGGGTAATATAGTCATTTTCAAACCTTACTAACATACATTTGACGGAAATAATGATAGAAGGGTACATTTGTTACAGTTTGATAGTTAAAGGGCATATAAGTGCAAAATAATAATAAAGGGGCACGTTTGTTAACTTGCTATAGTAGAGAGGTATAAAATGCTATTAACCCTTTAGTATAAATGCATTTCATAAGTTTTAAAGAATTCATTTTGAAATGAAATCTTTTTGTGTTTGGTATATAAAAGAATTTATTTTCAATTCTAAAATTTGAATTTTATGGAATTGGAGCTAGTTATAGCAATTTCGAGGAATTAAGATGGAATTTCGAAATGAATTCCACAAGTATTTTACTAATTATGATAAAATAGCATCGTTATCATTAATTAATTAATTAAATTACTTACCTGTATATTATTTTGGCGCCAATAAATAATTTTGTGCGCGTAGCACACCTCTTCAGCCTGTATATTAAACCCAATACAGATTTGCGATATCCATCACAAACCCTATTCCCATCCATTGCGCCTCCCAATTTTGTCGAGCTCTAAGCTGCACAACTCCCTTTTTCAAATCTACAACAGTCACTACCACCTAGAATATGTTAGCTTTATATATGTCAATATGTGTTTTACTTTTACTGTTTTCTTATGGGCATTGTTTCATTTATATGTACCAATTCAAAGCTTATGCTAATATACCGGTTAGGTTTATATATAGTGTGTTCCTTTTTTTTTTTTTTTTGGCAAAGTCAGTGTTGAAAAGATAGTCACAAGGAGAAAGAAAGAAAAGCGCGGGAGTCGACCAATAATCGAACTCCCGATGAGAGGGCCTTTAGTGCCACATGATGGGCAGCCCTATAAAGTCGACGAAAAACAAAGCAGTAAGAAAACAGCTGAAGTGAGAAACTAAGCTCCGAGCATCCTCCAGTAGAGCTCCACCCCGATCATGCGCCAAATCGCCTCCCACCATCCCGTCGTATCAATTGTTGTGAATCCCCATGAAATTTGACAGAGACAAAGGAATATGTCAGGCACCACTCTATGACCTCCAGTATAACAAATGAATCGTGTAATCCTTCATAACACTTTCCGAAAGCAAAGAGAATATTACCTGACGATTGAAAACCCATAAAGCCAATACTACCTTCGTAACTATGCTTGACCACACCATCAAACTAAACATTAATTGTAAAATACGATGAATGCGGAAGCTAAAGAGAACACGACACAAGGATTTACGTGGTTTCCCCGTTCAGATTGAACGGGACTAGTCCACGGAGAGCTAGAAGCTCTCGGCTGTTGTTTATTATTGATGATGTTCACTTAGGGTTACAGAGGGTTCGGCCAGCCCTATATATACAAATCCAATCCTCTAGTCTCCATGCTACGTGAGGAATGGACAATTACAAAGTGATCCCTACTATAATGGTAAATTACAACAGGAATCACAACACTCCCCCTCAAGCGAAGGAGTGAATATCGAGAAGTCCAAGCTTGCCGAAGAGATGATGAAACTGATCAACACTCAATCCCTTCGTAAACAAGTCTGCAGGCTGGTCAGCAGTAGCAATCTTCTGCGGGGCGATGTCACGAGACTGCACCCGCTCACGAACAAAATGGCAGTCCATCTCTACGTGTTTGGTGCGCTCATGGAATACTGGATTGGCTGCAATATGTAAAGCTGCCTGATTATCACAAAACAATGGAGTAGGTCCAGAAGAAGAAATGCCAAGATCACGCAATAACCATCGAAGCCATAGAACTTCACTAACAGTGCTGGCCATCGCACGATACTCAGCTTCAGCTGAAGAACGGGCTACCACATTTTGTTTCTTCGTTCTCCAAGAAATCGGCGAAGCACCCAGTCGAATGTAGTATCCTGTCGTGGATCGTCGAGTGAGAGGACATCCACCCCAATCTGCGTCACAGTAAGCAGTGAGAATAAGAGGGGTAGAAGCAGGGAAGAACAAACCTCGCCCTGGAGTAGATTTCAGATAACGAAGTACTCTAACTGCAGCATCTTCATGAGCTTTGGTGGGCGCCTGCATCGCCTGACTGAGCAAATTAACTGCATAAGTAATGTCGGGTCGCGTCACAGTGAGATAAAGTAAGCGCCCAACAAGCCGACGGTAGGCACCCGGATCAACCGCAGGTGGAGATGCATCTCGCCCAAGATGATGTTGCTGCTCCACAGGAGTAGGACTTGGACGTACTGCTTCCAAGCCTGTATTAGCCAAAATATCAAGTACATATTTCCGTTGATTAAGTACAATTCCACGAGACGATCGAGCTACCTCAATACCAAGAAAGTACTTGAGAGTGCCCAAGTCCTTGATGGTGAATTTCTCATGAAGAAAGCCCTTAACCCGATTAATAAAAGGCAAATCATTGCCTGCCAGAATAACGTCGTCCACATATATGAGGGCTACTACATAAGAGGAGCCACGTCGATGAATAAACAGAGCGTGATCTGCTTTGCTCTGCACAAAATCAAAAGCTAGGAGAGCTTGAGTAAACTTCTCGTACCAGTTACGTGAAGCCTGGCGCAATCCGTAAATGGACTTGTGTAGAAGACACACTCGCATGTCACCGGGGCTAGCAAATCCTTGCGGTATAGACATGTAAACTTCTTCATGAAGATCCCCATGAAGAAAGGCATTATTCACATCAAGTTGATGAATATGCCAATCCCGAGTAACTGCCATAGCAAGCAGACAACGAACAGTAACCAGCTTTGCGATAGGTGCGAAAGTATCGTGGTAATCGATACCTTCAATCTGAGTATAACCCTTCGCCACGAGACGAGCCTTATATCGTTCTACTGTGCCGTCAGGATTAAATTTTATCTTGAACACCCACTTGCATGCAATACGCCGCTTGCCAGAAGGTAGGTGAACTAAAGACCACATCCCATTAGCAATGAGAGCATCTATCTCCCTTTGCATTGCATCTCTCCAGTGCTTATGCCGAACAGCTTCATGGAACGAAGTTGGTTCCTTAACTGAGGTGACAGCTGCAACAAAAGCATGATGCTTCGTGGACAGGCGATGATAAGTGAGATAGTCATCTAGGGGATACCTTACTGTCGCCGAATGAGCTGCTCCAGGAAGATCGACATCGTACCCAGCAAGGCGAGTAGAGGGGACTCTCACTCGATCACTCCGACGAGGAACTGGCGCCGTCGCTGGTGATGACGAGACCCTAGGAGAAGAAGATGACGTCTCCCCCTCACGAGCCACAACGGAAGGTGAACTGCCGGAAGTGGGCGAAGTGGAAGATGAAGGGGAAGAATCGGGCAAGAAGTCAGTAGAAGCTGACGGTGGGACAGCCGGGGAAATGGGAGATCCTGGCGTATTAACAGGCATATCGGCTGAAATAGAAGAAGACGGAGCAGGTGTCAGCTGATTGGCTTCATCAAAAAACTCCTCCTCATCATGTACAGGAGGATGACCACCAAAAGTGGGCCGAGAAACCAAGGCTGGAGTAAGATGATCACGATGCATGAGATCTCTATAGGGAAAAACATCCTCCAAAAATTTGACGTCACGAGAAGTATAGATAGTCCATTTTTCAAGGTCATAAACGCGATATCCACGTTGATTAGACGGATATCCCATGAAAATACCTGCACGGCCACGATCACCGAACTTATGCAAACCCTGATGAGTATCACGGGCATAGACAAGGCAACCAAAACTCCTAAGATGCGTATAAGAGGGATCCGCATCAAAGAGAACCTGAAATGGGGATCGGTTGCCGATGCTGACCAGGGGCATCCGGTTAATAAGATAAGCGGCAGTCAGAACACACTCGCCCCAAAAACGAATGGGTAAGTTTGCATGAAACCGTAGAGCCCGAGCGGTATCAAGGAGATGTCGATGCTTACGCTCCACCACTCCGTTCTGTTGCGGAGTATCAGTACAGGAAGTTTGAAGAACAATACCGCTCTCTTCATAGTACGCAGTCAGTATATTTGAGGAGAACTCAGGTCCATTATCTGCTTGAATACGTCGAACCTGTTTCTCAAACTGAGTGCGAACTAAATTACATAAGTAAAGCATATATCGGCTAACATCAGACTTATGCCGCATCAAGAAAACCCAGACAGCACGACTGTAATCATCGACGATAGTAAGGAAGTAATGTGCACCAGAAGTAGATGGCGTTTTATAACCACCCCATATGTCCACATGAATAAGCTCAAAACAAGACTTGGTTTTAATGCTACTGGTATCAAAAGGAGTACGAGTCTGCTTAGCACGCAAACAAGACCGACAAGGTTCTTGTGACTGAATGAATGAACAATCAATAAACTTTCCCAAGAGATTAAGTTTAGCCAATGAAGGATGACCAAGCCGAGTGTGCCACAAATCCGTCGTGCTAACAGCCTGCTGAACCGAATGCGCCACAGGATGTCCACCATCAACCAGCCTCAAATAATAAAGACCGTCCACATGCTTACCCATCCCAATCAGCTTCTTGGAGGGTAAGTCCTGAATAACACAGAAGTCACTTAGGAATATCAATGCAACGGGAAGCTCTGCTGTAAGCCTGCTGACTGATAATAGATTACACTGGAAGTCGGGCACATGCAGTACACGACGTAAACATAAATCACTAGATAATCTGCTGGTTCTAATACTCTTCACCTTAACCCCAGTTCCGTTGGGAATTCTAACCTGTAAGGTTGGTGACGAGTCCAACTCGGCATCCAAGAAGGAATCATGATTAACAATATGTTCTGTACATCCAGAATCAATAACCCAATTAGTAGAGTTACCAGAAAACGTACCCGCCATGTTGGATACAGGGTCGAGATTTGTCATGGACTCTTGATGCAAATCACCACCAAGTAGAGCCTTGAGTTGCGCGAACTGCGAGGCGGAAAGACCCGGGAGAGGGCTGCTCGCAGCATCCACCTGAGCTGCCTGAGGTCCTGACTTTGCCCCTTTGTCATTTCGGCGCCTAGGTGGATCGCCTTTGCTCTCACCATTCTTCGATGGATAGCCAATGAGACGGTAGCACGTCTCCTTGAAGTGTCCGACCCGCTGACAATGGCTGCACTTTGGTTTGCCATCGGCGTCGCGATCTCGGTCCCGGTCGCCATCATGTTGCGCAACGAGACGATCAGATCGTCGTTCCCCACGAGCCTGGAACACAGCCGCCTCTGATTTAGGTCGACGGTTGTGAGTAATCTGGCGCTGCTGTTCGTCATTGATGACGAGCTGATAAGCTTCACCCAAAGATGGAACCGGTTTCATAGCGAGAATTTGTGACTTAACCGTGGAAAAGGCATCATCCAATCCCATTAAGAAGTCGAACAATTGCTCCCCTTCGCGGACCTCGCGCTGCCGGCGCCGCACATCACAATGGCAACCCGCGCAAGTACAATCTAAGGAAGGGGTCAAGGAATTCTTCTCGTCCCAGTAGCCTCTCAATTTAGTGTAAAAGGCAGAAACATATAGTTTCTCCTGTTGAAGACAAATAATGGTTCGCTTAAGCTCATATAGCCGAGAAGCACTACCTTGGCCAAAGCGAGCCTGGAGATCGACCCAAATTTCTCGGGCCGTATTTGCGAAACGAACGCTCGAACGAACCTCCTTGGACATAGCAATCTTCAACCAACCCTTGACCATAGCGTTACATCGTCGGAGTGCATCCTTCTCTTCCGGTGTTGTCGCAGGTGGTAGGGTTCCGTCGACGAAACATATTTTATTCTTTGCAATAAGAGAGTCGGTGATATCGACAACCCACTCTCCATAATTACTATCGGTAAGGAGCTCTCCAACGAAACAGTTGTTGGGACTCTCCGATTGATGAAGGTGCAAATGAGATGGAAGCCCGGGCTGCGGATCTGCTCCCGAGTCTACACCCGATTTCGAAGCCTTCGAGCCCTTGCTTGAGAAATCATCATCTGACGACATGATGTAGAAAAGACTGGATCGAAATCACAGCTCTGATACCATGCAAAATACGATGAATGCGGAAGCTAAAGAGAACACGACACAAGGATTTACGTGGTTTCCCCGTTCAGATTGAACGGGACTAGTCCACGGAGAGCTAGAAGCTCTCGGCTGTTGTTTATTATTGATGATGTTCACTTAGGGTTACAGAGGGTTCGGCCAGCCCTATATATACAAATCCAATCCTCTAGTCTCCATGCTACGTGAGGAATGGACAATTACAAAGTGATCCCTACTATAATGGTAAATTACAACAGGAATCACAACATTAATAGTGTTCAAGGGGTTCCTTCAACATCAGGGGCGCCATTTCTAAGTGCTCCATCAAATCTCATCAAAAGGCCACCTAGTGAACAAGACAGCCGTCACCGATCGACTACTGTGCAATTGAATCTTCACCTGCAAAATGAGCAAACAAAGGCCCCTACTAGGACAATCCAGGCCAAAGAGCCAACAAGTCAACATAGACACAAGGCAGCAATTCGCCTTTGAAATAGAGAACCAGGTCGTCGGGAAACCCTAGATAACCGGCACCACCCGTTACAAACCTAAACCTTCTTTCTTTCATTCTTTTTTTTTTTTAATAAAAGGAAACAAGCTAAATTTCGGGGACCTACCAATTAGCAAGTATATAATAATAAAAAGAAGGCAACAGATACGTACGAGAAATATGAATAATGATGGAAAGAATAATTAAAAACAAATAAAGTAGAAGGATAATTATTAAGGGAACGGAATTAATAATAATAATAATAATAAAATAAATGATAAGGGAGTACTTATCTGAAGCGTAACTGCCCCTCGTTGGTGATTGTAACCGACGCATCACAAGAGACCGTCAGTCTCCCCACGTCGAACCAGATTTTACCGGACGGCCGAGTGATCATCGTCGGCGCTACGCGATGGACATGCGGCGGCGGGCAGGCTTGAAATACAGAACACACTTAAGGAACACCACAAGTAAAATGCATCAGCTCAGCCATAACCATATAGAACACACTTCATGAATCGTTCCTTATTGGAACTTAATGAACCATTGCCCCATAACATTTCCTTGTATAATGTTAACAGTTAGAGCTGTATATTATTTTGATTTGATGGAAAGTAATAAGGGTGCAATTGGAAACTTTTAATTTAATTCAATTCCGAATATATGCCAAATATGGTTTGAGAATTCAATTCATTTGATTTCTAAATATTTGAATATGACATACCAAACAGTCTGTTGGCTAAATTACAAACTACATAAATCTTTCACATTTGTCATCCGAATTACTTTCCTTTCATCTTTGTTACTAACTTTACAATTCCTTTCACAATTAGTCACCACATTTCGTCAGATTCCGTTAACTTCTTAAGTTTTTTTATGATGTGGCAAAATGAGACTATTGATTAGACCGTTAACTTAATGACATGTCAATTTAAAAAAAAAACAATTAATTAACACCCACTCTGATACTCTTGCCAAACACCTCGCTTCTGCCGTTTTCGTCGATCTAGTCTCTGTCCCCATCGTTGGCTCAATCACCACCAAATCCACAACTGCAATGTAGTTGGCCGTCTCTGCGCAAAATTCCGCACTGCTCTTCTGTTCTGACCCTCGCTCATCGGTTACAATGAGCTAGCCATGGATTACCTCCGCAAACACATCGTCTCAACTACTTCACCATGGATTACCTCCGCAAGCTCGCCTTTGGGAGTAAGGTCGAGACTCTCACTCATGGCAAATGCATCGCCTTCATCTTGAGCTCCGTAATGAATTCCACCACTGATTCCCCCTCCCCTGCCAAGATCTTCATTGGTCTCTTCTCATTCTTGTCAACAACCTGCCACTCCCACACAAATCCCTATCCATCTACCTCCATAATTTGATATATCTCATGTCTTTCCCAATTCCTCAATCTTCCGAGCCCTCTTGATTCTACAATTTTCTACCCCTCTCACCGTCGATCAAACCAAATCCAAAAACCCATCAATTCTTCTTCAATCTCCTCCTTCACCCAACCTGCTAATCAAACCAAATAGAAAATCGATGGATTTCTTTTTCAATCTCCTTCTCCTCCCAGCCTGTAAATCGAACCAAATAAAAACCCACCAATTGTGAATCTGCTACTCTGCCTCTCATTTTCCTTCAAGTTTGAGATTGTGAATCTGTTGATGCAATTAAGGCTCGTCTTCCTTCTTGCCATTCGCCACTGATTGACTGCGGAATCGCGAGCAGAGACGACCGTTTGCTACTTGACTCAACCCGAATATCACAATTAACTCTCACCTAAGGTCCAAGTATAAATCTTAAACGGGTGCAATATAGGGCAAATATGTTTAAATATCGATCCGGCCCGGCCCTTGTACCTCTACTTCGACTGTTTGAAACATTATCTAGCAGATTGTTGTTTGTGAAAATCTCTACAGTATACGATTAAAAAATGGACTTGAAAAGTAAGAGGATTGAAACTCTTGGAGCTTCACTCGAGAGTTGTTTCCCCCTAACTAACTACCATGACCCATGGGATCGAATGAATTGGTGTGGAAAAAAGGCGATTGTGAACCGCTAGGAGGAGCAACAGTGGTTAGAAACCACACTCTAAATTGCTAGGCCAAGGAATGCATTATAGGCTACACATGTAGCCCTCCTTCCCCAAGCAATTGAGGGTTGAATTACCTTCTCCCTCAAACCGGGGGTTTGGACTTTAGATGGGTTAATCATAATTAACCTAGGTATTCAATTTGAGTTTAGAGATTTGCCCTACATTAACCTAGATAGGAGGCATGGAATGCCCAAGAAAACACAACTCAATTTGAGCTTCTTAAGATAAGGGGGTTTCTCTCTAAGCTAGGTTAGAATATCACAATAGATTGCCAAGCACACACAATGCATAATCACTATGAAAAATACCTCAAATCTCAAATAAAACACCACCCACACACAATCATTCAATCCACACAATTAGCTACACGGTAGAAGTTAGGGTTCTACAACATCCAAGTGAATAGGAGACTACCTCCATGCTAAAAGAAAAAAGAACACAAAGAAGGGGGGGGGACCATCATTGTGATGCCTCAATCCTTTATTGTGTTTGTAGTGATCCTCTCTTGAAGAGGATCTTCCCAAATCTTGACTTGGAGCAAACCCTAGCTTCTTCTCCCTTTTGGTTTGTGGCTTTCTCTCTCTAGATTCTTGAAGACTAAGGTTTCTCTCACTTGGGCTCTCCCTCTTCTTCCTTTCATCTCTCCTTTTATACACAGATCGCGCCCAGTTCACGACCGTGAACTAATGACGAAGATCGTGAACTCGAACCAATTCGCGCCATTTCATTTAGCTGGTTCACGGTCCATGGCTTCAGGAACTGACTTGATGCTAGTAACCTGTAGAATCGCTCTGGAACCCTGCAAGTTCATGGTTTATGGCTCCAATTCACGGTCCTGATGACCGTGGACTTCCTGCCTGGACCATGATCTTTGGCTGCTTCCTCCTTTAGTTCGATTTTAGCACCATTTCTTCTAACAATCGACTCCAGGGTTGGTTCCACCTGTTAGATTCTGAAACACACTGAAAAACGGCAAACCTAGCGTAAAACCACACCTTTCAGAGCTCAAATGCTACAAACGCCAAAGATAAATGGGGATCAAAAGTGTACATTTAGGTCGAATCACTTCCCCACACTTAGACGTTTGCTTGTCCCCAAGCAAACCTTTCAGACAAGGTAATATCTCAACCTAAACAAAATACTTTAGGGATAATTCAAAGGGCACAAAGTGGGGTATCTCAATGGCTATTGGCAATCAACACATGGACAGTTGCAAGCGATACCGCATCCACAACAAACAACATTTGAGGCCACCAAAATGGGCAAACGAAAAGTTCTCACCTTGTTCATGAATCAATGCAAGTCTCAACAAGTTCACTCATCAACCACAACTAACCATGCATAACATTCAAGTCCAAGGAATAAACGAATGGGAAACAAAGGTCCTCACCGGGCTATGATATGACATGCAAAACAAGAATGAATCACTCACTCTCTTGACTAGTGGGGTTGGGACCATTTGGTGCAAAAAATGTGCACAATCATCAACACTCGGTCCTATCGTCTCTTCACCATGGCGGCAACCTCTAAATGCTAGAGTTCACGGGACGGTTGTCATCACTAGCTTGACCGGAGGTCTTAGACACGGGTTCAAATGACTTGCAATTGTCTTGGACATGGGGAAAATGCCTTTCGGGTGGTGGCAAACACAACATGAGGTCCTACATCTTCACTTTAAAACCGAAGGTTCTATGGCTTCGACTAAGAACCTTCCCTACACACAAAGACCACTAGCATCGGTCAAAAACCTTACTTCCTTCCAAACCAAACTATCACCCATCACGAACTACATTGAAGCACACTTCCTCGGCTTATTCTTGCTATCACATTTCAAGCATATTAGTGAGGGAGTTCAACAACAATTTGGGTGTTTCAATGGCTAGAGTGCCAAGAAACCCTTCCTAGAGTAGCATACACTTTGATTTTTGTGGCAACTCTCTACTTTGTTACCTCGTCTTATTACCTCTTTTTCGATTTTTTGTTTTGATTCAACTTTCCTTTTCTTCCTTTTACCTCTTTTCTTTTCTTTTCTTTTCTTTTCGAGGGGGTACTAGAGAGTGAAACACATACCATTTAACGAACAATGCTCTCGATTAAGAACTTACTCCAACGCTACCTCTTCATTTCTAACAAGAACCGCACAAAATCCTCCTATGTAGAACCTCAATGGAGCTCCTAAGCACGAACTCTGGGACACAAGGACGAGTCATGTATAGACACGAAGGAATGATGGGGAGTCATTTTATCAAACATCATTAAGCTCACAAGGGAAAAGCTCTTACAAGAAAAAGACCCCCAAAGTCACAAGGCTCAAAGGGGTTAACTAGGGATCTCTTTTATTAGCTTAGCATTCCCCCCAAATTCAATCGCAATTTTCCGATCCCACTCCATGGGGAAGAAGCCCCTCTCACTCGTCGTTTCCCACCTAGCCATTTCTCAATGTCTCAACCCATCGCCACGCCACCGCCATTACCATCCCCGAAACCGATGTTACATAATCCATAAACCGCACAATGCCAAAGCACAACCCCACGATTGGTGCAACTGCATCGTCTTCCACCATCTTCGTCGTTGCCCTCGTCTTCCTCCCTCCACCTCCATCTTTCTAAACCTAACCATGTTTGGCTAAACTCCTAGTTGTTCCGAATTTGATGAATCCTAATATGCTTTGTATGGATTAAGTAATATCTTTGACATAAACATGTTTTTCTCGTCTTACGATCTTTTCTCGACTTATCATGCGCAACTATCAATAGTGCGCATCTATTGTATATTTTATCTGATACATGTAGATGAAACTACAATGTAATTTTGCATGTTAGATCTCTTGTGAAAAGAAGGAACTAATCAGATCCACCGGCGATGAGGTCACGTAGTTCCTCTAGATTATCTTAAAAATCTAATACGGATATTCACAAATCTGGTTAATGCTTTGGTTTAAGAGTCTTGTAAGCCACGATTCACTTGATTCTTAAAGTCGAAAGGGTGTTAATACATGTGAGAACGAGTTAACACTAAATTGGGAATTTTCACAGTCTAAGATTTGAACACACTTTATGTTGTTGTTTGTATAATGTATGTTAGGGGGATTCATTTCCGAGACAACCCCTTCTCCTCTTGATTTTACTTTGAAATTGTTTGTTTGTGTCTTGTTTATTGCATGTGTGAAATCCTATACTTGAAAATCAACTAAAAATGATTGACTAGATAATAGATAAAAGTTTAGTACTAGTACACAAAGTCTCTGTGAATACGACCTAGCTTCCTGCTATACTGCTCTAGAACGATAAGTACCCTTGCCAGTATTTACCTGTGTTAGTTACAGGCGATCAAGTTTTTGGCACCGTTGCCGGGAACTATTAATTTAGTCGCTTTTATTTTTCTTGTTATTTTTCATACACTTGTTGCTTTCACGGGTTGTTCTTGTTTTTGTACTTGAAATAGTGCATGACCTGAAACCACCCTAGTGGATTAGTCAACCTTGATCCCGAGATTGAGAGAACCCTTCGTGAACAAAGAAGGGAGCAAAAAGTAGAGCCACCAGCAATTGGGGAAAGCAAGCCGAAGTCAACAATCGGACTATGTCCGATTATGCATGTCCTACCTTGGAGGGAACTCACTCAAGCATCCGGAGGCCCAACATTGAAGCCAACAAACTTTGAAATTAAGATTGGGATGCTGCAAATGATCCAAAATCGGTTGCAATTCAATGGCCTACCCGATGAGGATCCCAACTCTCACCTAAGTAAGTTTTTGGAGCTTTGTGACACAATAAAGATAAATGGCGCAACCACTGATGCCATCCGCCTCTGACTATTCCCATTCTTGCTCGAAAATGGAGCAAGGGAGTGGCTTGAAGCATATCCACGAAACTCAATCACAACATGGATGGAAGCCGATATATTCTTGGCCAAGTACTTTCCACCAAGCAAGACAACGAAACTCCACAATGAAATTGTTGTGTACCACCAAGAAGATCACGAAACTCTCTACGACACATGGGAGAGGTACAAAAAAACTCTCAGAAAGTGTCCTCACCATGGCGTTCCTCTTTGGTTGCAAATGCAAACATTCTACAATGGTCTCAATCCCGAGACAAGGCAATCCATAGATGCAGTGGCGGGTGGCACCATCCAAAACAAAACGCCCCCTCAAGTGGAAAATCTAGTTGAAGATATGGTGATGAACAACTATCAATGGTATTCGCCTCAAAACCCATGTCAACCGGCACCAACTTGAAATGCCAAACTCCACCAAATTGATCCGGTGACAGCCTTGGCAGCCCAGGTAGAGTCACTCGAAATGTTTTTTTGGCACGAAAAAAGGGGCTTAGGCAAGGAGATCCGTCGCCACTGGGACTATTCACGCTCATCATGGATATCCTCTCTTCCATGTTGGATAAGTTCCAAGCTGCCCGGAAAATTAAAGGGTTATGTATGGACGAGAGTAGCGGCAGAGGTGAGGTAGCCCACTTACTGTTCGCCGACAATACATTACTTTTCTGTGAAGCCTTGTATGAGCAAGTCCTGGGCATTATGGAAACTCTGGTTTGTTTCCAAGCTGCCTCGGGTCTTAGAATCAATATGTATAAGTCTGTTTTGTTCACGATTGACGATGTCCCAAATCCATATTTTTCGCTGCAATTATCGAATGCACCTGGAGTTGCGACCTGTTTATGTATCTTGGATTTCCCTTGGGCACCAAAGTAAATGCAGTCTCTACTTAGGATCCTACTTTAGGCAAATTTCAGAGGAGGCTGATGGATGGAAGGGGCGATTTTTGTCCCTTGGTGGAAGACTTGTGTTAAATAAATTTGTCCTCAGCATTCAACCAACGTACTACTTCTCTTTGTTGTGAGCACCAGCCACGATCATCAATAGAATCGAGAAGATCCAAAGAAGATTTATTTGGAGCGTGACAAGGGAGAGCCAGAAAAGCTCACTTTGAGCTGGGACGTTTGCAAAGTTTTAAAGGAGAGGGGCGATATCTGCATTATCGATCTAAGAAGTTTTAATACAGCATTGCTCTCTAAATGGCATTGGCGTTTTGCGGTGGAGAATAATTCTTGGTGGGAAGGAGTTGATTCAAATAAAGTATAAAAGAACTTAGTCCGTTTGGCATAGTGGCAAATGCATAAAGGGCTTTGCCGACTCGGTGTGGGCAAACATAACAAAGGAATTTGACTCATTCTGGAATTTAGCCTACATTGATCTCGGGGGAGGGGCCTAGGTCTCCTTTTGGCACGATCGATGGATACCTTCCATGACTCTCGCCAATGCCTTTCCAAGAGTCGCCGTTGCTGCTTCTTGGCCAGATGTTTGGGTCTCCGACAATACCACCTACACAGGTGAGAACTTGGTTTGGAATGTTGATTTACATTTTAATTTGAGAAGGGGGGGGGGGGGGGTAGGCTGAGAGGGATAGGGTTGCTCTACTCAAATTTTTTGGTAACCTTGATGTCACTCGTATGAGTTGTCGGTCGAGCCATATTTTCTGGTCTTCACAACCCAAGTTTGTTTTTTTGTCAAAAACATGTACAGGTCGCTGATTAAGAACGAGTACGAAGATTTGAATGAGTTCCCGGCTGAATATGTATGGAGGAGGATTATTCCATCCAAGATTTGCGCGTTCGTGTGGATGGTGGCTCACAAGAAAATCCTTACTATTGACAACCTCAAGAGACGAGGATGGGCTATGACGAACAGCTGTCCCCTTTGTTTGAAAAGGGAAGAGTCGATTGACCACATTTTCGTGGACTGCAGCTTCACCAAGAAAATTTGGACCAATGCATTTAGAGTTTGTGACAGTGTCGTTCCACCTAACAGAGACATTGTTTCAACGATCCGGGGATGGTGGAATGACACTCCGGGCAGCACCATAGAGAGGGTTGTTTACTGCTTACTGCACACGATTTGCTAGGGAATATGGCTCGAGCGGAATCAGAGAATTTTTCGTGACCTCAAGTCGTCCTCCAACGATGTTTTCTACAGGACAATGAGAGCAATTACCGTGGATTGTTGCACAGGGCAAGGCAGGGAGAGATAAGGGAAATAAGTAGTTGAGAAACTGTTAGTCTGTCTTGCTTTGTTGTTTTTGTTTTCCTCTATGGTTTTGTGCAGCTGGGCAGCCCGTTTTGGCTGTTTTGTTTTTAGCTGCCTTGTTGTTTCTCTCCTTTCTTTCTCGACTTCTTACTTCTTGTGAGTTGTCTCAGCCTTGTTTGTTTTTGTTTTTGTTTTTTCACTTCCTGTTTGCTTCACTTTTTTTAGTTCAATGAATTTTCACCCTTATAAAAAATGACACTTTCACTAAAGATTAGTATTTCTAGTGGTATTAGCGGTTATTATTATTGTTATTAATTTCATAGACTCTGTTGCATATTCTATGTGTGGGTTGGGTTGGTTATCTTTTTTTCCTTTCCCTCCATAATGATAATTCTTTCCATCTACCTAATTTTTTTTTCTATGCAACTTCTTTGGTAATTTATTTATTTTAATTTTGTGAGGTTTCAATTGGTAGCAGTGTAATAAACCTGCTATATTTATTACTGGTGCTATTTCTTTTTAAGGAAATGAGAAGAAAATTAAGGGCAAATCATTAAATTCATTTCCAACCCCATCCACCATCATCATCATCATCATGGAGTTCACACTATTGCAATAACTCGCTCACTTACTTCTCCCAAATTTAAGCAATTCATTTCCGATTGATTTTCAAATTCATTCCTTTTTTTTTTCAAATTCGAAACAAACGGCCCATTTCTCTGCCCAGCCTTGCCCTCTCCCCCAACAACAAACAAGGACAGGACAAGACAAGAGAAAGAGAAACCCACAATTTTGCTCGACTCCCCTGCTGCTTCCTCTTCTCTTCTCACCCTTCACTGTGTTTTTTTTTTTCACCCCTCAATGAGCACGCAATGGACGAGTCCGAGCAGCAGGTTGATGAGATGGCGAGTCCGAGACTGGGTTTCTTGTTTCCTCGCTTCCCGGATTCCTCCTCTAGGTAACGTAAAAGCATATGAGCTTAAATATTGTCTGAGATAATCAATCGTGCGTGTTTTTGCCACAAAATATATATTGTTATGCAATGATTTTTTCATGGGTTTCCTTTTGTTTTGTACGTAGATGATGACGCGGCAAATGGTAATTTCCGGAACATGGTGTGCGAGTGCAACGTAAATGACGGCGGCAGAAGGCAGTACCGGCGGAAAAGCAGGCGCAGAAAGGAGCGACGGATCCTAACTGACGGCGAGACTGATCATGACAACAATAGCACTGATGATAATGTTAGTGGCGGAGGAGTTTCCGGCTCGAAATCGACGGGGAACGGAGAGGCAACGGAGAGGGAGTTGTGCGTTGTTGACGGCACGGGAACGGGGAGGCGACGGCGGCGGCACCCGGACGATGATAATCGTCAGGAGGAATATATCGTCTTCCGCTTTGGTGAAAACGGTGCTTTTGAAGTTGTCAAGGACGGCCGGCACAGAAACAACTATAAACCTCAGAATCATACCAACGCAGCGGAAAGTAATTTGGAAGTGGTTACCAATACCGCCGGCGGGAGTTCCTCCTCTGCCTCCAAGCCCACTGTCAACAGAAAGGTACTGACTTAACTTAACAATACTCTTTTTCCTTACTTTGAAATTGGATACTGCAGCCATTGGACTTATTTACTTGCAGAGCACAGCTTTTACCTTGCGATTCAAGGACTTTCTGTTTGTTGTTGGATAACTGTCTCGCTTATTATTGCTTTTCCAATTAGTTGAATTATGGCAATCAGGAAAATGGTAGGAGGGATGAATCAGCAGCAGCAGCAGCAGGGAAAGGGAGATGGGAGGAGAAGTTACCATTGCCAACTACTCATCAGCATGGCATTGTTGGGTCAAGTGTAAAACCAGAGGTGCTTCATTCTCAGCAGGTGGAACATGTACATGACACAAGCACATTAGTTAGTAGAACTCCATCCATCATTGCCTACCTTGTTTTGTTTCATTCATTTCCTCTTCTTATAGGGAGAAGAGAACTGCAGCTTCAGGCGGCATCCATTGGGGGAGATAGACAGAAACCAATTCGGGACCTCCGCTGCCGCCGAATCCGGCAGCAGCAGAGACAATTCGCAGTCCTCCAGCTCTGGCTCCTTTTCCTTCCCTGTGTAAGTAAAAGCATCAGCTTCCTGTCAGTCATCCACAACTAACTAATAATCCTAATCCCTTTCACTAAACTAAACTAAGCTAACACGACACAGAGAAGCACCTTTGATACTAAAGTTATCTACTTGCTTCATGAGTGCATGCAGATTGCAGTGGGAAGAGATGGTAGGGAGCCCAGTACAAATGCCAAAACCAGAAGACAACTTTCACCTGCGGAAGCACAGGATGAATTGTGCTCGTTTCCAGTGCTGTAGATTTCGAAGAAACTCCATCGACTGAGATTCCTTTCTTGTTGCTTCTACATGAGCTATATAGGAATAGGACAGGGTAGTGCTACAGTAATCCTCCAACAGGATTTGTTTTTTTTTCCCCCCTTCATTTTCTTATCATCAGAACTCGGAATACATCAATCACAATGTACTCTCTTTTACACATAGTAAAACTGATCTGTTCAATAATTTTGCAAGCTGAAGATTTTCAATAAGTATGTGGATTAAACAGATTAGCACCATCAACACAATAACTTTGCAGACTAACGACACTATACTTCTTCTAAAAACACCCACAAGTTATTAAAATGAAACACTCCCACAGCTTCGGAATAGACAATCAGCTAGTTATAGCTTACAACCGAATAAGAAGACCCTAGCGCACATGTACTATGCTTGAAGAAGAATCAGAAGCCATAGCATTGGTCAGTTTCTTGAATGGATTTGCAGCACTAGGCTTACAAAGTAGAAACTGAAGGTGTTGTCTAGCAAGCGCAGCAGCAATAATGGATTCCTCATCACGCTTTTCTTTCGCCGCAGCAACAGCTGCAATGTAATTTATACGTGCCTCTTCCATTTCCCTAATGTCCGTATCGTCCAAATCGTCCTGTACGAGATTAAGTTAAGAAAAGTCCATTTCTTAGATAATAAAGACTCAACTGAGGGAGAATCAGTCTAATCATCTCCTAATCATTTAATAATGTCTGCAGGTAAGTTTATCACTTACAATGTCAGGATCATAGTCTAAATATGTTGGCTTGCTGTCATAATCTTCACTGAGTGCTGACATATCACACTTTGTCAAGCCTTCAAATAACAGCATCAATGACGAGATGTTTCCTTGAATGGAATCCAGCTCTCCCTGAAGCTTCTCAGCCTTATTGTTCGATGTCATTGCTTCCCATTGAATCCTCTCTAGCGCTGCCTGCTTGTCCGCCAGTTTTATCTGCAGAAAATGCCAGCAACAGTTAGCATGTCTTATGTATGATAGGAAGAACGAAAAAGACAGCATAAGCTTGAGACACAGGTAATATTAGTTCCATTTAAATGTGTGGCTTTCATTTAGGCTTAGCCATGCAGCTGCGATAGAACTCGGCTAATAACGCCCCAAACTTTTCTCAAGATATAAACAAAGACACTTTATCAAACAGAATGTACTAATTGAGCATAAAGCTGTCACTTCTATCATTGCCAAATGCCGACACTCCTACTTAAATGATTAAGTGAACCAGAAGCATGATAAATTGATAATAGCAAATGTTTGCCTTTGTTTAGCCAATCAAGGTCAAGTGATATACAAGTACCTTGGCATCAGAGAGTTGCACTTGATGGGACCTTATTAAAGACTCCTTTTCAGAAACCTGCTGTTTCAGTTCATTTAACTCAGCTTGAATTGCATCATTCTGGCTTTCTGATATCTCCAATGATTTTGCTAACTCGTCTTTCTCGGATAACTTCTTCTGCAGATCTTCCACTTGTTCCCTTAATGTGATTAGCTCATCTGTGTTACTGTCGGCAGCAAAAGCCCTTGAGGTAAACACTGTGAAGTCGCTGACATCTTGAGTATTTCCAACACTCTTACTTTCATCCTTATCTCCACGATCCCCTTTCTTTTTTGCAGGAATAGATTGAGCTGTATTCCTATTCCTACGATCAATCACCTTCAATGGACATAAAAAGAGCAGAGTCGGCAACAGCTCGCTCAAACAACCAACCCATTTAACTTTAAGACGTACAAATTCAAGGCAAACTATCAACTCTCCCAATACAAGTGAACAAGTGAGAAATTCACAATCAGGAAATTAAGCTGCAATCCGGATGAGCGAACTCACCTTTTTGGACAAAGACTCCCTGGAAGGCGTCTTGGTATATACTATTGAGCCCCGCCGCGTGAAAGAACTGCTGGCTTTCCTGTCCTGAACCACATCAAGGTTAAACAAATAGAAAGGACCCAATTATTCCAATACAGCAAAAGCCCTATTTATACGTAAGAAAGCTGCAAAAGGTTCCTAGGCCTTCAAAGAGATCCAAATCCTAACTCTGCTCTAATCCCATTAGCATTACCAAGGCTCCAATTCTGAATTTTCCGTTCAACTAATCGCCATTGAACCCAGAAACAGTTTAAAGAATCCTCTAGAAAAAGAAATGGAGAAATCGCACGAGAGAGAGAGAGAGATGGAAATTACGATGAGGGACTGAACAAGAGGGACGATCTCGACCAGATCGTTGAAGAGAACACGATGGAGGTTGCCATTTCCACCGCCATTGGAAGTAGATGCGGCGGCGGCACAGTGGGCGGCAATCTGGGAGCTGGTTAATTGGGAGTGAGGTGGGGAAGAGTTTGGAGGACCAGAAAGCCACGATTTGGAGTCCTCCACGAAACTTGGATCCCCTCGCAAATCCACGCAATTCTGCGGATCGAACATGGCTGTTGATCTTGGAGGACTCTGTGAAATCTTGCTTGCGATAAGAAAAAGGTACTCGACAGATGGAAACGAGACTGCTGCCTGCGTATGGAATGGTACTGAAATGGACTGGGGATGAAAGAGAAGAGAAGAAGACTTGTTTAGCGACTGAATTTTGAATTCCCGACCCTAGTCCCGGATTGGATTTTACTCGATCCATGGTTGTAGAAATCATACCATTGGTTCGACCGGAAAAATCGAATATTGGAGTCTGGATTGAAATGATAGGGACTTCTTACAGTAGCTTGGGTATAATTTTAAGTTAGATAACTTGTAGAGATCTAAATAGTTAAAATTGATCAAACTTATTTTAAACCATTGATTAAACAAATAAGTAAAATGGCAACAAGGGCTGCCGGCAAGTTTGTCAACCCGCAGGCTGACCCGGACCCGGTCGAGCTAGTGAGTCAAGAGTTAATGGGTCACCCGTTTTAGTTCGATTTAGCCCGAAAATATGAAAAGAGTCATTATATTGTACTTATCCTCATAAATTATATCAAATATCATCTAACGTATGAGTTATAACATATTAAGTACAATAAATTATATCAAATATCATCTAACGTATGAGTTATAACATATAATATGCTACCAAAATAGCATGTCTTACTTAGATCCAACATATAGTGAAAACACACACTTATATAACATCAATGTTCAAATGTTCAACTTAGAATCCCGAAATTGAGTCAGGCGAAAAGAAAAGTAGAAAAATAGTGGCATTCTCCAAACCAAAGAAAAAAAGACACAATTTGACCTCCAATTCGGTACCTTGTAGCGGTCGACCCGCCGGGTGCGTGCGACCCATTTTTCTCACCGGGACATGGTCAAAGCGGGTTGACCCGCGGGTTGACAATCTTGGTTGCCGGTCAACACCTTCTCAATTTACCTTTTTTATTTTTTTCTTTCCTTTTTCACATTTAGTTGATTTTCCTTATTTTATCCTTTCCTTTTTTAATTCTTATGAAATTAGAAGCGTTACGTAAGGCTTCCATTGTAACTTAGCTCTTTATGTAACATGATGTTAATACTCATTACGTAAAGTGACCTTCCATTACATAAGATTTTCGTAATGACATTTTACAAGCGTTACGTAAAATACACCTTCATTACGTAAATGTTACGGAATGATAGTTATTTCTTATGTAATAGTTAAATCGGGAGTGTTACATATGGCTTCCGTAATGACTTAGCACTTTACGTAACGTGAGGTTAATATTCATTACGTAAAAAGACCTTCCATTACGTAAAGTTTACGAAACGACAGTTATTTCTTATGTAACAGTTAAATCGGTAGCGTTACGTAAGACTTCCGTAACGATTTAGCATTTTACGTAACGCGAGGTTGATACACACTACGTAAAGACACATTCTATTACGTAAGGCTTCCGTAATGATCTTTTACAACTGTTACGTAAGATTACCATATTATATGTAACCATTACGTAATCCCTATTGTAGTTTACGTAATGCGACCTGTGAAACCTGCTATAACAGGTAAAAAAATTTAAGTTACCTTACTTCAAGTTACCATAGGAATCCCTGAAATTATATATTTAAAGAATTAAGGACATATTTGGTGTTTATTATTCCAAAATGTGTATTGTGTATGTAAGCAATGCATGTATTGTAGAGAATACACAGTTTTGTGTGTCAAAATGAAATAGAATGTATCAATGTTGTGAAACCGAATCGGAGTATAAATCGCTATGGTGAGCGAGTCTAGGGGTGGGCATCGGTTCGGTTCAAACCGAACCAAAATTGAATATACCGGATCTCCGAAAGTGTCTGTGAGGCAAACCGAATTCGAACCGAAATTTAAGTCGGTTCGGTTCATCCAAACCGAATTGAATACCGGTTCGGTTTTAATACACAAACCCGAGGAGTTATAAACCACCGCACTTTCTCTCTCTCTCCCATACACCCAAACCCTCATGTCTCTCCATTTCTCCCTCTCTCTCCCCCCTCCAACAAACGCAATCGATGTAGATCAGAAAGCGACGATGCTGCGGTGGAATATCCTCCATCTCGTGACTCATCAGTGAGCAGAAACAGCAGGCTGCGACGGTGGTATCTCCTCCGACTCGCGACTCAGCGGCGAGCAGAATGCAGCGGTGGTATCTACTCCATCTCGTGACTCAGCGGCGAGCAGAAACAGCGAGCTGCGACGGTGGTATCTCCTCCGACTCGCGACTCGGTGGCGAACAGAAAACAGCGGTGCTAGGGTGGTATCTCCTCCGTCTCACGACTCACCGGCAACCGCGATTGATGCAGAAGTTAGAATACAACGCAGCGGCAGGCGGGTACGACGATTGAATGTTAGAGGTCAGTATGGTTGTAGATCCAAGCATGCATGTCGTTTTTCTTTTTGATTTTCACCTTCGAGTTTCAGTAGCATTGTCGCTCTTTTCGATTCAGGAGTAGAAAGCTTGGATTTTGGAGAAGAAAGTTTTGATTTTCAATATTGATTTTGATGCATTTGGGGTTTTATATTTGGATTTGGGTTTTTTTAATCTCAGGGAGGAGAAGGGAGCAGAGAGAGGGGAAATGGCATCAAAATCCAGTGGCCGGTGAGGATGAGTTGGTGGCAAAGCCAACGGATGAGAGGAGGATCGGTGATGTTGGATGGTTGTTGGCGGCTTGGGTCAAGGATTTGGTGTTCTTTGTTAGGGTTAGGTTAGTAGTAGGGATGGAGAAGTTGTGGGCTTATGGGATTAATTTTGGGCTTTGTTTAATTTGGGCTGGGAGGGATTTGTGTTTTATTTGGGCTGTGAAAGAACTGGGCTTTGTGAGAGGTTGAGTAGTCAGTTGGGTTGTAGTATTGTGGGTTAAATTTTTTGTTCGGTTTCTCGGTTCGGTTGTTCGGAATTCGGGTTTGGTCTGCATACACCTGGTTTCCGAAACAAATGGTTTTGGCTTCCGAATTTCGAACCGAACAACAATAATTCGGTTTCGGTTTGGTTCAATTCGGTTTCGGTCCGGTTCGATTCGGGTTTACCGAACTGGATGCCCACCCCTAAGCGGGTCACACTTGAGCCGTTAAAAAACTGTAAATAGACCACTACCTTATATATACTAATTTTATAACTAGCACATTCCATACCTCGAGGTAGGGATGGGTTTGGCGTGGGTTTGCCTAAACCAACCTCATCCCCATTTTCAAATATCCAAACCCAAACCCTCTTTATACCCATGCGATGGAAGGTTTTACAAATCCATACCCATACTCACGGTTTTTAGATACCCATGGGTAATACCCACTCCATCAACTACTCACCATTAAAAAAAGAATATGGTGACAAATGTGGATTTCACCCGCCCAAAATTATGGAACTAATACATAAGTGACACGTCCCGTCTCTTTTCAAAAACCAAACCATAACTCAAACCAAAAACCGGTTACTCCGAAGCAACCCAAACCACAATTTAAAACAAACAAACCGACATCATTTAATAATTTTTAACGAAAAGCCCTAACATTTGGGCAAAAATTCTCAATCTCAAACACTTAAAACGACTTAACACAGAATCTCCAATTTGTACTAATAACCATGAAACAAAATAATTAACTAATCTAACTTGACTCCTCACGAGCTTTCTGATATCCCGACGACGTTGGTACTGCTGCTCGCCTCGCCCTACTTCTTCTCATGATCCACTTCTGCTAGACTATCCTCAACCTGGTGAGTGAGAAGGGGTCAGTCTCGTCGTTACTTCCTAAGGTCTTCCTAGGGGTCAGTCTCGTCGTTACTTCCTAGGCAAACTCCTTACTAAACACATTATTAGGGGAATGCCTTCCTAGCATGAAAGTCGTTCTCGCTTTCTGCTCTTAATTAACCATTCCTATCAACTCATCTCAACATTAACTCATAAAAGTTCTCGACTTCTATCATTATCTCAACACAAAACACTAGGACCACCGCGTTACGTCTCGTCGTTCGGTGTCCTACCCTAGTATGCCAACCGCGTTACGTCTCGCCGTCCGGTTGCATACCCAAACTCGGCAATGGCACTGCGTTATGTCTCGCCGTCCAGTCCATGCCCGTCAACTACTGCGTTAGGTCTTGCCGTCCAGTAGTGATCCGACCATCTACCGCGTTCAGTAGTGGCCCAACCGCATGGGGGTTCCTCATACCATCAACCATACAAACATACATACATTCATACATAGCACAACGCGTGCCTCCATCCTTACAGGCGGTGGGATGCCTCACACACATATCGCGCATACTAGAAAAAATTTACTAAATAAAAACTTGAACGAAAAGCAGAAACTAAAAGACCTACGACATAGATTTTACCCTTTACACTCACCTCTTTAGTCGCATTAACGTCTGCATTCTCACGCTCAAGCCCCGTGCATTTTTCCTCTTTTGGCTCCTCCTCTATCGGTTCATCGTCTTCCTCTTCAACGACCCTAACCATTGGAACTCCGCCGCCATTCTCTTCTAGGTCCCTCCTCGGGCCACAAATCAGCGGTCAACTTCGAACCGCTGACACCCCGGGTCGTCTGGGAGGATAGGGTCGGGGCCTCTCCATCGCTTTACCCCCGCCAGTTGCGATCACCGATGTCGAGTTCTCAGCCTTCCTTCCGCCTCTAATAGATGCGGCTCTTCCCCTCCTACTAATCGGTGTGAACCTCTTCATCACGCCAGACTACGAAGTTCGATCGGCTGCTAACTTTCTCGCCTTCTTACCCTCCTTAGCCGGATTATCCCAGGAAACCTATTAATAAGAAATTCATACTCTAAGACAACCTTTCTCGATTTAAAAGCCTCCTTTTTATCTACCCAGACACCCTCTACTCAAAGTCCCCTCCTCAAACCTCACTCCAAAAGTCCTTTAATCCCCATTAAAAATTTCTAGAATTAATCCCTTCAAAAACGACCATTTTTCTTAATTATTTTAGTCTTGGACGAATTTTCCACCTAACTTGAACTTTCTTAAAAATTTGGATAATAATTTTCCTACATCAATCATGAGCACTTCTACACTGGAAAATTATCAAACCCTTATAAACTCCTCGAAAATATTTTTATTTAATTAAAACAAATGTTCGACCAATTTCTAAAATTAAAAATACACCTTCAAAAATCCCCAAATTAAATTAAAGCCATCTCTTGAACCTCCCTCAATTTATAAAATTGTTAAATTCAGAAAACAATCTTCAGTGAGGCTCGAAACAATTTAAAACATCTAAAAATACGTTTCTGGAAATTCCCAACAGCTTTAGTGACCAATCAAAATCTGTCACTAAAAGCCTGTTGCTAAAACCCCAGAATTCTACCCTCACGAAAAATCACCAAATCAATCGACCTAACTCAAAGGGATCGAGTCCTCTTACCTCTAGAACGTGCCTAGGCCTAGGTTGGATGACCCGGGACGTTGATCTCCTTTTTGATCAAACCCGCTCAGCAAGGAATTGGAATCGGAATCGGAATTGGGGTCGGGATGGGGAATGGCGGTGGCGAACTTCTTCTTCTCGCCTCGTGGCTGCCGCTGCGTCTCTTCCCTAGTCCGGGGAAAAAACGAGAGGGCTGGGGTGTTAAGGAGGGTTGGCGGTGGACAAATTAATGGTAGGGTTATAGTGAGGCTCGGCCCCGTCAACAAGGGGCGTATGTTGTTACACCCCGCTCTTTCTAAAAGTCAAAATGACTATTTTACCCCTGACTTAATTCGTCAACTTTCACCATAGTATTGATGAGGATTTCAAAACGTAAACTACCGGTGCAAACGGTGTCGAATTTCGAGGTAAAACGACGAAGTTATGGACGTTGGTTGTTTTTAAGTTCAAACCAAGACCCAATTAGAAGTCTGGGCCGAGTGGGTCTGGGCTTTTGGCCCAAAAACCTGAGTTAAGTGATGAGAAGGAAAGGGGAAGCGGGCTTGGCGGCCCAGGGGGAAGAAATGAAGAAGAGATGGGCTGGTGGCCCGAGGAGGAGAAAGAAAAAAGGGAAGGGGAAGCGGGCTTGAGGCCCGGCAGCTGAAGGAGGCGGAGCCTTGCGAGGGGATAGGAGGGGTTTTCTCCGCTGGGGGAATAATAATAAAAAAAAAAGAAAAAAAGAAACGAAACAGAAAATCGAGCGGCAGCGAAGAAACAGTGGAATAAGAAGATGTGGAAATGACCGAAAAATCAGGGCGTAACCGACGAAAATGGGGGATTTAATTGAGGAGGTTAATTCGATCTAGGGGAAAGAGGTTGGGATTTTATTCACGTGCGGTTAAGCGAGCAACTATCCCTCGAAGGGCTTGATGGAGCCGGCACCGACAGGACGGGGAGCGAGGTGGATCCGAAAGAGGGTAGTGGCTCTGATGAGGTCATCAAATCCAAGTCCAATTCATCACACGAAGGTCCAATTACTCGTCTACAAGCCAAGAGATTAAGAGAGGAATTTGCTGCTTATTTGGATCGACATTATGCTCAATTGGACATGGACCAACATCATGGGAAGCCCATTATACTTCTATAATTCGTGGACCAGCATGGAGGCAACTTGGGCTTCAAGGAAGGTGGATATGAAGGCTAGATTTTAAGGAGTTGTTGACTTGGTCTTTTCCTTGTCTATTAAGGATTGTGTTTTCCTTTTACTTTTCCTTTAAGGTTTTGTTTTCCTTTTAATTGTAGGATTTGGTTATTTGTTTGCTTTCTTTCTTAGTTTAAGATTGGATTTTCGTTGCCTATATAAGGAGGATGCGTCCCTCATTGTAATTCATTCTATTATCAATCAACTTTCAAGTTTCAAGTTCAAACGAACTGGTTCTTTGTGCAAGCTTCTGTCGAGAGTGCTCCAGAGGTTTCACGTGTCTCTTATCAACTAGAGAACGCGTCTAGTTGTGGCGAGCTTCTACCCTATATCAATTGCCCCTTTCCACGAGTTGGTGTTGTCCGATTGGTTTAATATACCAATTGCCCTTCATCACGAGTTAGGAATTGTCCGATTGATTCCGCATCTATCTTTATTTTTCGAGTTCAAGAAAGGCGACATCAGAAAATCATAAAAATATCGTTGAAGCTGCGTACTTTGATCACATCAAGTGGTATCAAGAGCCCGGTTCAAACACAGCGGAGAAGAAGACGGTTCTTAGGAATCTTGACGTGCTCTTGAAGCAATCTTGGCGAATTCTCGTGGGCTTTCAGCGCAAGAAACACTACCTTGTGCCACAAGAATGGATGATCCAATGAAGGCAATGATGGATCAATTGGCGGAAATTCAGCGAACCCTAGCGGCCAACGCTGCCGACGTTAATGCACGATTCGCCATAGTCGAAGCAAGGCTAGCCGCGCCTCATGCTCCTGCGCAAGAAGCACCACCAAACCCTAATGCCGAGAGGCCTAGGCGAGAAGATGAAGAGCGAGGAGAAAGGAGGATTGTTCCGCAACCCATGGCCGAACAATTGAGGCGCCATCGTCCTTTGGGGATGCCGCGAGCAAGGAGAGGGAATCCTCGAGTGCAAGACGAAGAAGGCGAGTATGACGACGATGATGCCAACCTTAGAGAAGTTGAACACGAATTGAGAAATGTGAGGGTCACTATTCCATCATTCAGAGGTGCTACCGATCCCGAAGCTTATCTTGATTGGGAAAGAAAAATGGAGATGATTTTCGACTATCACAACTATTCCGAGAGGAAGAAAGTTCAAATGGCTGCAATGGAATTCACGGATTATGCTATCATCTGGTGGGATCAAATCTGTACGAGAAGAAGGAGGGATAGGCAACGCCCTATTGAGACATGGGAAGAGATGAGGAGCATCATGCGGGATAAATTCGTCCCTAGCTACCATCGTAGGGAGATGTATCAAGCCCTGCAAACCTTACGACAAGGTACAAAAAGTGTAGAGGATTACTACAAGGAGATGGAGATGATGATGATTAGAGCTGACCTCGTAGAGGAGAATTAAGCCACCATAGCACGATTCCTACACGGTCTCAATCGAGAAATCAGGAATGTGGTGGAAATTCAACCATTTAGAGAGTTATACAATTTGGTTGCAATGGCGGCCAAAGTTGAGAAGCAACAACGTAGTAACCTTGGAAGAAGGTTCACACCTTCCTCTAGAGCACCAAGGCCAGGAGTGCCTTCGACTTCAAACCCTAAGCCAGCCATTTCAAAACCAGAAGCACCAAAACTGGCAGCCAAGGTTGAAGCACCAAGAGAGAGACCCACAAGCTCTAGTGGAGGAATTCAATGCTTCAAGTGCCATGGAAGAGGACATATGGCCACCCAATGTCCTAACAAGAGAGCTCTAGTCATGTTGGAGAATGGAGAGTATGTCTCGGATTCTGAGGAAGAAAAGGAGGCTAATTCAGATTTTGATGTGGACGAGAAGATAGAGATGGAGGAGGCACCACCGGGAGAGCTTTTCGTAGCTAGAAGAATTCTAAGTGTGCAACCCAAAGAGGAGCTTGAACAAAGAGAGAATCTGTTCCATACAAGGTGCACGGTGGATGGGAAATTACTCTCGTTGGTAATTGATGGTGGAAGCTGCACTAATGTCATTATTGTCTATTCGGTTAAGAAGTTGGGATTAAACACTTTGAAGCATCCCAAGCCATATACACTTCAATGGCTCAATGATCATGGCGCCATCAAAGTAACAAAGCAAGCTCTCTTGAAGTTTTCGATTGGAAGGTATGAAGATGAGATCTTATGTGATGTTGTGCCTATGCAAGCGGCGCATGTCTTATTTGGGAGGCCATGGCAATTTGATCGAAAGGCACATCACGATGGAGTTACTAATAAGTACGAGCTAGTACATGGCGGGAAGAAATTCGTGTTGAAACCCCTATCTCCCAAGGAAGTTTATGAAGATCAACTCCAAATGCAACGAAAGTGGGCGAAGGAGAAGGAGCAGGAATCCCAAGTCACGGACAAGAGTGTACATGGGGGGACTAGTGCCGTGGAGACCAAGTCATTGATGATAGCACGAAGTGGAGACGTGAAGCAAGCAGTTTATGATGATGAAACAATGATTATGATCATCTATAAGGGTGTGCTACTCAATCAAGAGCTTATTCCAGAGATACCACCTAGGGCACGAGTGGTATAAGAAGAATTTCAAGATGTCTTTCCCGAGGAAGCTCCAAAAGGCCTACCTCCAATCCGTGGGATAGAGCATCAAATTGATTTTGTTCCTGGAGCTACAATCCCAAATAAGGCGGCTTATAGGACGAATCCAGAGGAGACGAAGGAGTTGCAGAGGCAGATTGATGAGCTTATGGAGAAAGGACATGTTCGAGAGAGCATGAGTCCCTGTGCAGTTCCT